CCACATCCTCCTTCCATAAATAACGGGTCACACAAGAATCCCAGGAACGTCCGAGGGATGCACGCAACGACCCAACTCGGCACTGTGAGGCCAGACCGGCACCTCAACAGCACACACTTTTCCGAGGGACGAGGCAACAGGAGACGAGTTGTTGATTGCTTCAACCATGGCCGTGCCTTGGCTTCGACCGTGTTGAACCCCCACAGAGTGCACTTCCGGATGTTTGGGAACTTGCCCCTCAGTGCTACGGATATGCCACTGAAGGGAACGCGTAGACCCACATCCTTCCGTGCAGAACGGGTCACACTAGAAGCCTCGGCGCGTCCGAGGGATGCCAACAGCTACCCATCTCGGCACTGCGAGGCCAGGCCGGCACCTCAACAGAGCACACTTTTCCGAGGGACAAGGCGACAGGAGAGACGTTGTTGGTTGCGTCAAACACGGCCGCACCTTGGCATCAACCATGATGAACCGCCCATGGTGCACTTCCGGATGATTGGGAACTTGCCCCTTCGTGCTAAGGATATGCCCGTGGAGGCTTCACCTAGCGCCACAACCTTCCGTGCGGAACGGGTCACACTGGATGCCTCGGCACGTCCGAGGGATGGCCGCAACTACCCACTGTGATGCCAGACCGGCACCTCGACCAAAGGGACGAAGGCATCAAGATTTTTGACTTGGACCTTGAGGAACAAGCAAAGAACTTGCTGCACGCCAAATGTGTCATGGTGCCGGATAAGCTCACTACGAGATGCCCACATTTTTCCGTTGGACCAGCCAGAACCGGGACACGTACGACCTGGATTCGGCATGGACTATTTTTGACTCGGTCGAATTTCCCACATCGCCATGGAAAAACGCACCAGCATGCTTGGGAAAGCTTGCTGGGGCGCTGGGAGGGAGCCCCATGGCACGCCATCCTGACCCACCAAGGTGCGTGGGCAGGCAGGCAGCTCCCCCCTATAGTAGGCTAATATGCAAAAACCCGCTCTCCAGCACCGGACATCCTTTTTTCTGGGGAGACATACTCGGTTTTTTTGAGGCTACGGGTCGAAGTTTGACCTGATTTTTAGCACAAGTGCTTATAAAAAGTGGGAGCAAGTGGTCCACAAAGTTTCACGATTTTTCTCCGAGCCGATACTTTTTCATGATTTTCCTAGCCGACGAGCTTTATGTCATTCCCGAAAATTAGAAAATGGGTGTGGACCATGTTTCTTGAGCTGTTCTATTGCAGGAGTTCCAGGAATATTATTCATAAACATTTCCCAGAGTTACGTCCATGTAAGGTCGAGGCATTTACCTCAAATGATTTTCAACCGACGTGCGGCACAATCCATGATGCCCTGACGGACACACGTGCCATGGCTTGGGTGAGTGTGCCATAGGCTAGGCCACGCACCACATGAATAAGGGACTATGTGTGTATCGTGGACTTTGCACCAATTCGACTAATCGCACACACAAGTTGCGGATCCACAACCCTCGAAGAGCAAAGTGGAAAACCAAAAATTCAAGATATCAATCTTGATGAGGCAAGTGATTCCAGATGCAACACATGAATAAGGGACTGCGTGAATTCCTAAACTCTGAAGGGTGAGCCAGATCAGACCCCCCAACACACTTCTAAGAGTCACAAGCCAACAAGCAACACAGTGTCACATGCCCTTATCTTTAACCAAACCTGCACTGAGAGGCCACAATCAAGACCCTCGCTTCCGCCATGGGAACCACCCACAACACACTACCAGATTATGGGACTTACGCCCCTTCGTGCTCTGCATATATGCCCATGAAGGGTTCACCGAGCACCACAACCTTCCGTGCAGAACGTGCCACAGTAGAAGGCACGACAATTCCGAGGGATCCCCGCAACAAACCAACTCTGCACTGTGAGGCCAGGCCGGCACCTCAACAGAACACTTTCCCGAGGGACAAGGCGACAGGAGAAACATTGCTGATTGATTCGACCACGACCGCCCCATGGCTCCAACCGTGTTGAACAGCCCAGGGTGCACTTCCGGATGCTTGGGAACTTGACCCATGCATGGTGCTGCGGATACGCCCAAGAAGGGTTCACCGAGCACCACAACCTTCCGTGAACAACGGGCCTCGGTAGAAGCAACGACAATTCCGAGGGATCCCCGCAACAAACCAACCCTGCACTGTGAGGCCAGGCCGGCACCTCGACAGAACACTTTTCCGAGGGACAAGGCGACAGGAGAAACATTGCTGATTGATTCGACCACGTCCGCCCCATGGCTCCAACCGTGTTGAACAGCCCAGGGTGCACTTCCGGATGATTGGGAACTTGACCCATGGTGCTGCGGCTACGCCCATGAAGGGTTCACCGAGCACCACAACCTTCCGTGCAGAACGGGCCACAGTAGAAGCCACGACAATTCCGAGGGATCCCCGCAACAAACCAACTCTGCACTGTGAGGCCAGGCCGGCACCTCAACAGAACACTTTCCCGAGGGACAAGGCGACAGGAGAAACATTG